AACCGGGAGAGAGGGGGTGAAATGTTACTGGGGGGAAGGGGGCTTCTGTGCCTTATATGATATATAAGGCCTGTTCCAAAAATACACTTCGAACGAGAGGCGAGCAGTGGTTGCAGCCCCACCCCCAGGCACTGCGTGGCTGCATGGGAGCAAGAACACTCCCCCCGAGTTCTCCAAGCCTGTCTCTGGCTTCGTTTTTATTTCTCTGGGGTCCTAACCAACTATGATTCCTGAGAAAGGAATCTGGTTACCAGAAATATCCACATTCCGGAAAAGCAGCAAAATGCAAGTCACATGGCTCCTCCAGGGGGTAAACTGACCTCCCCCAAATCAGTGAACCGATGGAAAAATCACTGTTTTTAAAATAATCAGGGAAGGGAATGTATTCACTTCTGCTTCTGACAGGACTTTTTTTTTTTAAGGAAAGATTCAAGCTGCCCAAATACCTTTTTTAAAAAGGGGGAAATTTTCCTGTTGATTTTCCTGACTTTTTCCCCCTTCCTTTACAAGCTTAGCTCTGACTTGAAGCAGAGGCTGAAAGTCAATGGGACCACGCGGCAAAGCGGAGAGGACGCTGGGGCAGGAGCCAGGAGACCCCGGTGCAGCGTCTGCTCAGCCTCCAGCCAGCTTCGTGATTTGGGGCAAGTTACTGACCCTCTTCTGAGTGCCATTGTGTGTGATTCAGAGCGTCCTGTGGGCACAACTCAGCTAGGCAGCCTCAGAGGCTGGCGACTTCGGTGGCCCCAGCAGCAAAACCTTAAAGCCTGACCGGCCACCTGGTGACCTAAGAGCTAGCGCTTGTCTGATGCTCTCAGACGACGTGAGGCTGTTTGTCGCAGGCCCTTTCGTAGGATGACCGTGCCAGCCCAGCCAGGGAGACACCTTGATCTCCCTTTTCTAGATGAGATCAGAGGACAAAGCCACTTGGCCAAGCTCACAGAGCAATGGTCGGAGACTGGGGGCCTCACCCCAGACCTAGGTGGGGCCACCTCCAGGGCCCGGCTGGGACACCGTTGCTCCTCTGCCCGGGATGCTGGGGAGGGAGGTTCCTGAGCCCGAGCGCTGACCGGCACGAGGGCTGCTACGCTCCCCTCCGATTCTGACAGCCTGTGCCTCTGTCAGGGAAACGAGGGGGCTGGGTCAAACCGAGGGTTTTGAAGAACGTCGTGTAGCAGAAAAGCTCCTTCCCTCCAGATGAAATCTCCTGCAGAATGCCAAAATATCAAGTAGGTCACTGTAGCTCCACTCTGGCCAAAAAAGAGATGGCTTCCACCCAAATGTCCATCAGCGACAAACGGATGATAAAATGTGGTATATTGGAATAATATTCCAATACAATGGGATATTATTTGGCCATAAAAACGAATACAGCACTGACACATGCCAGCATGGGTGAACCCCCAAGCCATCATGCTAAGGGAAAAAAAAAGCCAGTCACAAAAGACTGAACATCGTATGATTCTGTTTATACGAAAGGTCCAGAACGGGTACATCCAAAGACGGAAAGCGGGCTGGTGCAGGGGGGAGTGACTGCCCGATGGGTACAGAACTTCCTTCTGGGGGGACAACGTATTTGGAACTAGATGCGCTGATGCTTGCACAGCTCTGTGAAGGCACCAAGTGCTGCTGAACGACACACTTTGAGATGGCTGATTCCACGTTATGCAAGTCTCACCTCCACACATGTGGGTGCGTGCAGGAAGGTTCCGGAGCCCCTGAGCATTCCTGTGCTCCTGCAGCGCCTCCGAAGACGCTGGTGTGGAAGTGAGCAGAGTCACCCGCTCTTGCACAGTGTTACCATAGCTCCACATAGTTCTCACGTGATGGCTATTTTGTTCTTTCCGGGGCCAACAAATAAATATGCCTGGGCTCGTGACATCTCGCTACTTGGAAACACAAGTTTCCATTGGCAACCAGCTTCAATGTCAGCTTGAGCCCACAGTGATTTAGCAGCTTCAGTTTTAGGATGTCACTGGTTTTAAACTCGAAACTCTACTTTAAGTATACCAGGAAAGACAATAGAAAGTAAGCATTATTTTGTGTTTCTTTTTTATGTTTTAGGAGAGAATGTTATTGTTGAGTAGCAAACAAAGCATTATTTAGTGCCTACTGTATATGAAAAGTTTTGCACGTCGCTTCATTTAAATGTCACTACCCCCATGTTGTAGAAAATGACACTGAGGCTCAAAATAGTTCTGCAGTGTCCCCAAGGTCAGGGTTACAATCTTGGTCTCTCCAGCTCAGGAAAAGGCTCTTTCCGTTATGCCCAGAGAGGTATCAGCAGAGTCTCAAGTTCTCGCCCCAGAGAAGGCAGGAGGGCTGACTTCGGTCCCCTCACAGAGATGGCCCCAGCCTACAGGCCCCCACGGCGGGTGGGGGTGCATGACGCACAGACACAGGTGGCCGGGGCCCTTCTGAGGCGCCCCCGCCCGCATCTTCTCAGGGGAGCTGCGCGCCCTGAGGAACCCAGCGCATCCATCTGCCTTTTCTCTTCAGTCCGTGCACAAGAACGGAGACCCCCTGCAACAGCCTCGCTGACAAAAAGTACTCAGGGAGCTAATGGGGGACTCTTCAGACCCTCGTCTGCTCAAGGGAAAGCCAGCCTACCATTTGTTTTTACAGCTGCAGGTCGCATCCTCTGCAAACACAAAACCTCGGGTCCCAAAGGCACCTCGCAGCCCAGAAGTCTACAGGACGTCACTCTCTGCAGCGGGAGGGACGTGGTCGCAGAGGCGGACACACACACCCCAGTGCAGCACTGGGCCCTTTCTGCGGGCACAAAAACGGTGACTTTCCGAGTTATCCTAAAACACGCCCACACAGAAGAGTTGAGAGTAATTTCAGCCTTTGTCTCTGCGTGGCAAAGTTATCCAAATGGTAATAATTCTCCCTTACATATCAAGGCACTTCACAGATTGCAAAGTGCTTTCATAGGCAATCACTGCCGTTTTTTTTAAAGGTGAAATTCATGGAACACAGCAGTAGTGACAGTTAGCTGTAAACAGACACCCTGAATATTGTAGGTGAGAGAAAGGTGAGATGAAAGAGTTTCATACCACAAAACTGAAGTCAGGTTCTTGAAGTTCCAGGTTACCAAGTGGAAGAAAAGTCAACGCCTTTTAAATTAAAGATGAGGTGCTGCGACTTAGGACTTAAGCGGTACATGCCCTTCCCCTCCTTCCTGATGATGGCACCCCATTGCCACGAAAAGTGAGACCCACAGCTCCTGTGTGTTGTGTGTATGGACTGACAAGGGCAGGTAAAGAAATGCAACTTAGAACAAGGGCTAGAAAGCGGATCTCGTTCCAATGCCATTTCATGGGAAAATGCTTCTGGTAGCAGAGGTTAAGAGGACTCAGGCTACACCGTGGCCCTTGAACCTGTCCCCACCGCAGGAATCAGAGTGCAGGTGTGTCAAGGTCACCTTTAAAAAGCCGCGCCACCACGCACGCTGGCGTGGATGGCCATCAAAACCTCCCCCCCGCCCCCCCAGTGCCACCGTCTCTCAGGACCTCATCCCTCCCGGAGAGCGCAATAACCATTAGATCCGCACAGAGCCTTGCACTGCAAATGAATCCGACCAAACTGCGTTGATCCGCTGCTTTTCCTTAAAGACGGCTAACAGAACGCAGCTGCGAGTAGCGACATCCAGCTGCTGTGCCGTTTGAGCTGCTCCAAGGACTCGGCAGCCCGGCCTCACGTCACTCGGCAGCTCTAATGGGCGGAAGCAAGCCACGTCCGGCCAGCTCGGCCCCTGCAAACCAGGGGTGACTGCTCTCAGCTGGGTCCTGCCAACAAGGACAGAAGGAACCTGACAGGGTGAAGAGCACGTGGAAGGAGGATTCAGCCGAGCGGGCACCATCCTGCCTGACTCCGAGTGCAACAAATACTCCATCAGAGTGACATGCCCTGAAGGGCAGTGGCGCTCACCCTGGGCTGCACAGGACGGTCACCTAGGGGACCTCACACTTTTCTGCGGCCAGGCTCCCTGCCCACGCTAATTAAAACCCGCATCTCCAGAAGTGAGGACCCTCGCAGCAGTGTCTTTGAAAGCTCTCCAGGTGGCTCCAGAACGCCACCCAGGAGACAGGCAGGCCTGGGGGGCGGTTCTAACAGGATCTGGGCTCGAGCCCAGTGGGCGAGGGGCTGCAGTCAAAGACCCCGCCAAACACCGCTGGCCCTGGGAAGCCGGCGTTCCTCTCCGCCCGGAACCCTGGCTGACCAGTGCTGTACCTGCCCGGGAGCATTCGGGCCCATCCAGTCTGTCAGGGCCACGGGGGTCCTATTTGAAACGCCTGTCTGATTTTCTTCTGCCAAAAACTAGCACGGTGATCTTTACTCAGCCCTTACTTTGTGGGAACCAGGAATTCGGTAAAAACAAGACAAAATACCCAAGTGCAATGTCACTCATTTCAGGGGCGATTTCACTGAGGGAGGGGGACATACCCCCCCCATACACACACACCCCAATATGACGTCCACTGGGGTGGGGACAGAGAGGAGTTGTGATGCTGTAAGTATTCTACAAGGCCCAGGAGGTCGATACAGTGGCTCTGGCTGCGCTGAAACAAAGCTACAGGAGAGTTAACACCAGGAAGAAAGAAAAAAGGAAGCGATCCTCATGCACCATGTCTGTCTTACCTGCGGCCCAGTTCTGGTTTGCTTTGCTCTGTCTCTCTGCTTGAGGATTTCAAAGAGAAGCACCTCGAGATGGGGAGAGGGTGGGCAGGAGGACACCCTGTCACCAGGGGAATGTGGACGTTGAGAGAGACTTCCCTGATGCGGACAGCCGCACGCTAGAGGTTCACAGGTGAGCCTCCGTCTCCTGGCTGAATCACACTGTATTTGGAGGCCGATATTCACACATGAAAATACGCTTCACGAGATTGCTTCGTATGTAACTCTCCCTCACGCTATTAACATGTTCCAAGAACTTAACTCACCAGCACAGGATCTGGGAAGCAGAGCTGACAGAAATAGATGGTCCAGAAAACACTTACTGGTTCTCTCTTTTCTTCTTCAGCGGGTCCATGAGGCGCAGGGTGTCTCTGATCACGGCCACCTTCACTTCCTCGTCGACAAGGCTGGGGACGTTTTCAAACACCCCTGGAGAGAGCTTGAACGGGTAAGAATTCCGTGTCACCGCGGGGAGACTCGGCGGGGGGGGGGGTTCAGGGCCAAGTGACTGTCGGGAGGCAGTGGTGCTACTATTAGCGCTGGCTTACGTGAATCGAGGCGAGAACATTTTAAAGTCTCCCTGTGTATACTGCCTTACACGTGTCAGTGTCCTTTCACACATGAACACAGTACATGAGGGGGAAAAACAGTGCTCTGTTTCTCTGAGTATTGAAATTGTACATGCTCATTGAAGACACCTTGGAAATACAGAAAGGGGTGAAACAAAAGAATCCATAGAATCCCCCTAAATCCCATTATTAGTATTTGGTGTATTTCCATCCAGTCTTTTTTTATGCATTATTTTCAGGGGGGAGAAATATAACCACTGTTAAATATACTATTTATCTCAGTGATTCAAGCATGTCGACGTGGCTAAATCACATTCGTGGAATTGCAATTAGTCCATCTCCTGAGGCTAATTAGTTACCGTCGGGGCTGACGGAAAGGCTCGGCTGCTTCTGCGTTTGCAGATCTTAGACACTGGAGGAACGGCATGCTGGGAAACTCTGTTAGGTCTCCTCTGTTAGGTCAGATAGGGCTTATATTAATAGACTACGTTCCGAGCACAACGAAACTGGAATTATTCAGACTTGAGCAGAACTTTGCCGTGCACGTTTGGGAACGCTGAATCTTGTTCAGCCAAGTGAGTAAGATGAGAATGGGGACATCCAGCTGTGTGGAAACAAGCTCAATGAGATGCTTAAAAAAGACTTACCTCTTGCTCATGTTCGATCCTCATGCTGGGATTCGCGTTAACTTCAAGTAGGATAGGCTTCAGATTTTTCATTAGGAGGATGTCAAAGCCTAGAATCTGCGCAGGACAAACGTAATTCAGAATTAGTCCCTCCAGCTACGATTTCTTTGCAGGAGTCGGGGGTGGTGTTAGGGTCAGTAACCTGGAAATACATTCAGATGCATTCCCTATCATGGGCCTTGACCCTGGCCTCTCTCGCCCACAGCCCCTCTCCCTCTGGGTGTCCTTGTCAGGTCAAGTGGACAGCAAGCAGGGCATTTCATAGGAGCCACCATAACAGGATGAGGACCCGTTCCCGTGCGCTGAAATGGTGCATTTCAGCGCCATCACTGTCTTTGAAGCACCGTAGGTGACAACCCCTTTCTCCTTAAACAAGTTTTTTATTATGTGAAGGATTAGCAGTGGGCCATCAACTCCTCCCTCCTCCCTTTGTTCTCCTCTGTTAGGAAGCTGAATCCTGGCTAGATCCGTGAAAACTGCAGGCTCCCTTTCTTAAGCTCAGGTGCCCCAAGCATCACTTGGGGACCCCCGTCACAACCACTGCCCTCCCCAGCCCACACCTGTGAGCTGGAACCTTTCAGGGTGGAACTCAGGCAAATGTGTTTTGAATAACAAATCCCCCAGGTGACCCTGATGCGCCCTCTTCGCTAAGGAGAAGGGACTACTTAGTAAGTACCTACTGGGCACCAATAACCACACAGTGCACCCAATGATCTGGCCTCTCATTTAATCCCCGGGACAGTGCATTTGAAGCAGGGATTACACTCTCCATGAAGCAGAAACTAAATCTCAGAAAGGCCAATGGATTTTCCTACAACCACCTAGCTCATAAGTGACAGGACTGGACTTTACTCCCAAGCAGGGCGAGGCTGCATAGTTTGGGGGACCCCGTGCGAGATGCAAATGCAAGGCCCCTTGTTCGAAAAGCTTCACTAATGCCATGATCTCGAGAACAGAGCATCAAACCAGGCAGGGGATCCTTCTGCACGTGGGGCGCTGGGTGACGGCACAGACCATGTGCCCACGAAGCCAGCGCACACCCAGAGCCGAGTCCGAAAGCTCCGCATCTGTTGGACATCTGCTCTTAAGCCCTGCACGCTGCCCCGGCGAGGCTCTCTCCGCCCCGGCCTCTTTCCATTCCTCCCGAGCCCTAAGCCACCGGGCCTCTGTTCCCTCTGCCTGACACAGCCCTTCACCCAGACAATTCCTCCCCATCCTTGAGACTACAGGTCTTAATTAGATTCAAACGCAGACGATGAGGATGTCAGCTTCTTAAGAGAACTTTCATTATCTCCATAGGAGGTGATAGGGTAGAACGCTTCTAACATAATTGATGCAATCCCAAAGTTTCAAAAAACAGTGTGGGGAACGCAGGAGAGACAAGAAGAAGATACAACTGTATCCCCTCTGTGGGCTCGAGAAGAAAAGATGAGGGGAAATCCATTTCCTTGTCTTCATAGAATATGCATTAGTTAAATGATCATCATTAAACTGTGGCTTTCTCCTTATTAATGAAATCAGAGCCTAAATGGCCATTTTGGGGGATAATTCAAGAAAAGGTTATTCTTCAAAGAAGGGCAATACAGATGAGAAGCTGGGAATAGTCATCCTCACTCTATTTTTCTTTTCCTGGTCACGAAAAGAAAGGAATGGATGTTCAGTAGAAAATGTTTCATGTATTTCAGATCTACTTAATAATATATGACAAGTGGATGTGAGTGATGGGGCCTTTAAGAGACTCTGGTGACATCATCAGCCCAACTTCAGACCTGGCCTGAGACATGTGATGTCGATGAGTCTGCAGAGAAGGGCGGGGCCTCGGTTCCAACGTTTATCATCCCTGGCCACCAACGCTTGCTGTTTGCTACATCTTGGAAGTTTGGACTTGCACTTGCTCAGCCTGCCGGACTCTTTGCAGTTCAAGGCACAGTGGTCTCATGGACGTAAAGCTATAGGAAATAGGCAGGAGAAGGAGGCAGGCAAAGCCTCCCCAGCTGTACTGGCCTGCACCCACCAGTAGCAGAATATTTCCCTGGACCCAGACTTCGGTGCATGTGGTTGAAAACATTGGGTCTTGTACAAGAATGCTTTGGAGTCGGAAAGACCTGGCCTGCAATCCCAGAGAGTCTCCTGTTCTAGCTGAACAGCTCTAGGCATGGTGCTCGGCCTCTCTGAGCCGCATGTACCGCGTCTACAGACAGAGGTGACAACCGCTACCTTGCAGGGCAACCAATCGATCGGGGAAGCGAAAAGTTCCCGGGACTGTGTTCATTACATGGGAGACACTCACCACGGCTGCCTCCCTTCCCAGTTTCCTGCTGGTCCCCCAACGAGGACTGGCACCTGTGGCTTGGACCCCAGAGCGGCTAATTTCAAACCTCAGCTCTGCCTTTAACCTGTATATCTCCAAGCTCTCAGCCCCAGTTTTCTCATCTGTGAAGTGGGAATGAGGGCAGACTCTTCCTTTGTTCATTCGTTTGTATAATATTTATTGAAATGCTTCCTATGCCCTGGAACTATTCTAGCATCTGGAAATACAGTGGTGGGCCAGACCAGGTCTCTGCCTTCACGGAGGAGCTAGGCAACAGGATGGAACAAAGACACTGTAGGAGGACGCATTTCGCACAGCACCTGACACGTGGTGAGCGTTTAATGAAGGTCAGCTATACTACACATGTTTTTTTTTTGTTTTTTTTTTTTTCACAAATTCAAGGAAACGTGGATTGTTTTCTTTTTAAAAAATGAATGAAATACGCTGCACCAATGGGTCCCGACAAACAGAATCACGGAACTGGGGGGATTTAGAGTGGGTCCTGTCACACCGCCCTGGAACGATGGAGCTGGCAGAAAACTGGGAATTTCCCTGGTCCAGGGTTTTCCAAAATGGGGTTCTTTTCTGGGGACGCACTGGAGGGACCAGTTCAGGTCAACCTTTCCCTATTTTGCATACTGGGATTTCTAGGGGGAAAAATCTCCATTTAATAAAAAGTGCTAATTAATCCAACTCCCACTTCATGCAGATGAGAAACCAGCTTAGAAAGGGGGAAACCTCTCTCTGGTTGGGTGGCAGAGCAGGAATTGTTCAACGGAGAGAGAGAGACAGAAAGAGAGAGGTTTTCAGTAGTGTGATACTCTGCCCTCCTCCAAGTAATTCAATCTGCAATTACACGCTGCTCACCTCCTGCGTGAGGGGACCCCGGGGATGCAAAGGTATATGTCCTTGGTCTCAGACGTCCAGACGCTTCCCAAAGCAAGTTGGGGAGAAAACTCAGGCAAAGGCTCCAGGCTCCCTTCCAATGAGAGAGTTCTCTCCTGAGTTCCAGCACTGCATGTCTGTCCGCATCCGGGGTATTCCCAACAGGGAGGTTCCAGACCCCTCAAATCTCTGAGGTCATTGGCCTCTAACATGGTCTCAATGACCCCCGCCTCCTAGCATTCACGCCCTTGTGTACCCCTGACTCCCTGAGTGTGGGCTGGACCTGGTGACTCCTTTCTAATGGCCTAGGGCAGACATGAGGGGATGTCACTTCCCATACCAGCTTATAAAAAGCTTGTGACTTCCACCTTGGTGTGCACCCTCTCACGTCTCTTGTCGCTCACTCTGAGGAAAGCCAGCCTCCATGCTGTGAGCTGCCCAACGAAGAGGCCCAGGTGAGACAACAGCCAACGGCTGGGGGGACTGGAGGCTGCCAAAGGCCAGGCGAGTGGCCTTGGAGGGGCTCTGGCCCCAGTGAAGCCTTGAGAGGACCGCAGTCCTGGCCTACAAGTTCATCGCAGCCTGTGGGAGGCCTGCAGCCAGAGGCAGTCGGAAACCATGAGAGAATCATCTGTTAGTTTAATCTGCTAAATTTGGGGGCCACTTGTTACACAGCAATAGATAATTAGCAGGCCATTTCTCTAAAGTCTACTTTGCCTACAGTATTCTTTACCCACCCAGTCACACAAGCCAGAAATTTCTCCTTATCCTTTACACCTACCTGCATACCAACTCTCGTACATTCTACCTCCAAAAAAGTTTCTAGAGCTGGCCGGTCCTCACCGCTCCTGGTCTGGATTAGGTCTGCACCACCTTGCACCTGGACTGCTTCAACAGCTTCCCCATCAGTGTCCCTGCTCGCAAACCCACCCTCTAATTCCTCTGGCACAGGGGCTGCTGCAGTATTTTTATAAAATATTGAGTTGGCCATAAAGTTCATTTGGTTTCTTCCATAGGATGGGTCTGGTAGCACTTAGTTTGTCTTTAACTTCATTCAAGACAATTTTGTTAGACTGTATTGTGAATTTTTGTGTAGCTGTTTTAATATTGAAGATGGAAGAAAGTATGCAAGATCTTTGGCATATTATGCTTTATTATTTCAAGGAAGGTAAAGATGCAACGGAAACACACACAAAAACTGTGCTCTATATGGAGAAGGGGCTGTGATTGCTCCCATGTGCCAAACGTGGTTTGTGAAGTTTCCTGCTGGAGACTTTCTCCCCGGACGACGCTCCACGGTCTCATAGACCAGTTGAAGTTGACAGCGATCAAATTGAGACATTAATTGAGAACAATCAACATTATACTACATGGGAGATGGCAGACATACAACATCCAGATCAATAAAGTTACTGATGAAAATGAAAAATGTGTCTTTTATTTGATGGGAAAAACCGTGCGGACCTTTGGCCGACCCAATACAGACAGAGCGTCAACGCTCCTCGGCCTGAAACCGCCCCCCCCCCCGCCCCGAGGAACGAGGCCCCAGCTCCCCAGCGCGTCCCACAGGCTCTGCCGGGGCCCGCCATCTGTCTCACACTCCGGCTTTGTTTGTTCCCACTCTCCACGGCGCGTCTTGGGCTCCGACTGTGCCGAACGGTTCATGGTGCTAGGATGCCGTAGTCAGTCCTCTCTGCATTTATCCTCTTTTGCCTGGAAAACAGTTTTACTTATCAAATTCTTCATGAGCACCTACTGAATCCCAGGTACTGGGCTAGGCACTGGGGATAAAGCAGTGAGCGAGGCACGGGGTGTTTGAACGTCCCGTCCTCTTGGAGCTTACGTTCCAGTGGAGAGAGAG